GTTTTTCTTCTTGTTCCCCCGCCGGCGCTCAGAAACGCGCTGCGCCGGCGAAGCCCTCTGCTCGGGAGAAGAGGATGCGGACACTCGCGACGGCGCGCTGAAAGCCGCGGACCAGAGCCCGTCTGCGAAGAAGAGCATCGCGCAGATCATGAAGGACAAGAAGAAGCAGACGCAGCTCACCCTGCAATGGTAGGGCTCCGGCGGCGAGAGGCGAGACCCCCCGGCCGCAGCCGCCTGGGGGCCGCCGGCGGGAGGCAGCCGCTGTGCCCGGCGGGCACCCAGGGGCACCGCTCTGCGAGCTCAGCCGGCAGGGAGGGTTACAGCTCACAGCCCTTTTAGAAATACTTGTCATCTGTGGCGTTGTGGGGTGGTTTTTCTTTTTTCTTTTCTTTTCTTTTTTTTTTTTTTCCCCCGGGATAAGCTTCGTCTACAAATAAGGACACTCACCCCCAAATTTCTGATTTTTCACATTAGCAGAGGTTTATCAGTTAACAGAAATCTCCGTCAGATTCTTGCAATATGTGGCTATCGATGAAATGCAGAAAATCGATGAAATCTATCAAAAAATGTGGAAGTGAAACGTTACTTAAGAATTACATTTGCGAATGGATGTTTTAATTATCCTTTAAGTCTCTGACTGTTAGATTTTCACTGCCTTATAATGTATTTTTTTACATTATATTCTACCATTCTTGGAAGCTGTAACTTTACTTTGTTTTATCTGGGCAAAAATTAACCAAATAAGAGGTCAAATTCTCCAGGCATCAATTGATAACTGTTTCTATTAAAGCACACTTGAAATTAGGGAGGAGCGCTGTTGAATTAAATGGGAACTTAGTTACCAAATGCAGATCTAGATTTTTTTCCTTCTAATTGGAAAAGGAGAGTAATCCAAATTTCCCAGTTTCTTGGTGTAGTTTACATTTGACTTCTGAGCATAAATTGTTAAGGATTTGAGTCTGGTGAGTCAGTGTGAAATTATTCAGTATGCAGCGTTTACTACGTGGTATTTTCTTACAGATTTGTGTAATTTGAGAAAAAAATTTCTTGCACATCACCCCAGGAGTAGCAAATAATGTAAATTGGTAAAGAAAAGAAACAGGACAACGGTGAGATACCCAGCTGTTACCAACAGTTCAGTTCAAGTGAAGGCAACCAGGTTTTTACTTCAGTTTTTGAAATTGTACTTTAATGACAATCAGTAGGCACTTGTATTCTGTAAACTGATTGGGAAGCTACGTAAAAATGCATCCCCTTCAGAAAAAGCCAGTACTTTGCTTTTCAGTATGGTTTGTTCAAGACAGAGTTTCAGGTCCAGCATGGAAATTAAAAAGCAAAAGTAGGAAGAAATGAGAAATTAGCCCAGGTGTTAAAGATGCAGTGGGACAGAAGTTGCAAGTTCAAGCCCCTGCTCTATTCAAAGGACAGACTTAAACCCAAGTCTTTCATAGTCTAGTTAGTGCTCTTATTTTCAGAGCAAGGCAGGCTCTTAGGTGATGATCATTTAATCATTTATAGAAAGAAAAAAAGTCCAGACATTGAAAAAAGACTCATTAAGAAAAGGGACCTGGCCCCGGGTTTTCTGTATTCTGCAGCTACCCTAAGCACCGAGTGGGGAGTCAGTCTCTAGTGCCTGTCTTGTTCTGTAGAAACTCATCTGTGTGCTCTCATGGAAATCTTCAGTAAAATTAAAAAAAGAGAGGGAAGTACCAAAAAACAGAAGGAAAATAAAATGGGGAGATAGGGCATGCGGCTTCTTACTCTGGCAGTTTCTTTCTCTGTACAGGCTGGAAGAAAACTACATTGTCTGTGAAGGAGTTTGTTTACCAAGATGCATCCTTTATGCACATTACTTAGACTTCTGCAGAAAAGAAAAGCTGGAACCTGCCTGTGCTGCAACTTTTGGGAAGGTAAAGAGTAAATGTCTTCATAATTTGTTAGCTTACTTCTTTGATAGAATGACAATTTAGTACACCTGTGTCAAAATGCCTCTTAAATACACGTTTTCTACTGCTAACATACATGGAATCAAACTAACTACACTGTTCCATATGAAGGGATTTTGTGACACCAACTGGTAGGAGAGTGAAGCTGAAATTCCCTTTGTTTTATTTTTATTTCATATAAAAAAGAAATCATTCTCTCCAGGAGCTTTTTTTTCTTCTTTTTTGATGATGACATTAATAGGGTTCTTTCCACAAAAACAGATCTGACATGGAAGACGCTTTTAATTACACTAAAGGCAGTGTAAAGTGAGATGTGACACAAGAAGCAATACAAGAAGGGGAATAAAAATTAATAACACAAAGAGCTCCTGAATGAAAAATTGTTGATTTATCCTCTTTTCTACCCTTCCTTACAATTAATCCTGAAATCATTTAATGAAAGGGAGATGTGAACTCTCCAAATTAAATCCTGAGTAGTTAGTGAAACAGGAAACCAAAAATGCTTCAAGGATCATCTTTTTTTAAACACTGCTGATCTAGTCATTGTTCATACATAGCAAAATGCATTAATTTAATTAAATAATAATAATGGATTTAAAATCCTGTTCATAAAATGTTCGCTTACTAATTTTTTCCTCTTGAATTGGATATACTGAGAAAGTGTATGTCTAATTTTCATTACACAGTTTCAGTATAAATGAGGAAGACAATAGCTTTCCATTTAAACATTGTCTCGACAGTGATCTATCTATTAGATGTATCTGTTAGATCTACCTCTATTACTGAATTACTTTTTTACTTAATAAACGTTTTGCCTTAAGCATCACACTTTACAGGAAGGGTAGGATGTTTTTAGGGCACTAATCTCAATCTCAGGAGTCCAGTGACAGAAAGTTTGGGTTGACTTGGATTAAATCACATAACGTGAATTCTTTTTGTGCAGCATAGAGCTAACAGAAACTTTCATAGGGTTTCAGTGAGCATAAATAAGTTTAAGACTGTCCAGCACTTTCATAGCAGAGGACACAGAAATACCTGCAAGGCAAATATTTGCTTACTTTAACCTTCAGATCACAATTTCCAAATCAAAAATCAGTTTATTTTTAGCTGTTTTGACTTTGAAAACAACATAGCCAGAGGACAGATCTTCCCCTGGTTCTCTTTAGATCTCTGAAGCAAAAGATACAGTTGTACTTTAGGGACCTGAATGAAACAGGGTCCTGGTGAAGAAAAGTAGATTTTAAGTTGTAGAGGTGAAAACGGAAAGGAAGAATAGGTGGGAAAGGCGGGAACGAGTTTATGGGTGGGAAGACTGGAGGTACACAGAGAGATGGACAAGGACGGAAGGACCCCTACAGCATAAAACATGCTTAATTGCTTATGTTGTGACATAAGTGTCACAAACATTTATTCATGGGCTACGTTAGACCATATATTTACACTAGGATTTTTCTGTGAACAGATTGCTGAGAAAGTATACCAGTGTTAGAAATTAATACAGTTATTTTCTCTTTAGACCATTCGCCAGAAATTCCCTCTCCTTACCACAAGGCGGCTTGGAACAAGAGGCCATTCAAAGTAAGGCACAATTATCTGTGTATCCGCTTACAGAATACATTCTAGGAATGACATGTATTTCCATGTCTCCATAATATATACTAATTGACAGGGGGGTTTATTCAGATGACAAGCTGCAAGTGATAACTTTCATGCACGTGATGAAACTGATACAGAGTTTGAAAACATTACCGCAGGCATAATTTCTAAAAATAAACTGCTTAAGCTTATAAAACTTGTCATTATATTTATAGAGCCATACATTTGTTGCAAATATATGTCAAAATGTTATCTATAAAAAACATTATATAATACATATATCTTTGTTACAGCTGTTAATTTTTCTATAAATAACGTGCAATTTAACTATGATTTTATTTGCCTTTTGCAAATCTAACAACTTTCATTGTGTTCTCTACATAACAATATGGATTCATTTAAAGAAACTACAAAAAAGCATTGTCTTAAATTGAGAAGAAGGTATACATCTGCTCTTTGTTGTGAGTAGTTTATAAAAACCCTGAAAAGTATACAACCTATAGTGCAGTCATTTCATAAATAATATATCCAATTAATTTGTGTATTTGATCTGTAGAATATTAGGCTGTGGGAATAGATCCCAGATAATTATATACCAACTGTGGTGAAACTTTTATTAATTCTGGTTCTGGCATTATGCTTTTGGCCATGATAAAGCTATTGTAAAGCTGTGGTGAACGGTGGTAACACCATATTCCCTTACATCCACCCTCCCTCCTATGTCCTGATATCAAGACTGCTGAGGAAGGACTGATGAATTGTACCCAATCTGATTTTGTTTTTTAATAGGGGAATGCTACTTCTTAAGGAAATGAAAAACTGTGTGGTGTATTGATGTAAGGAATGTAGAGAAGTCAAAATAATCCTGTAGGGTATTGCTAGTGTCGAGCTATGAGTTAGGTAATTCTAGGAAAATTCTATCCCTGTTAGGGGAGTCACAAATAAAACACTTCTCTGTATTGCCTGAAACCAAGACTGGCTCTGAGCTTTTCTGAATGTTGTGCTTTAAACTGTTATTTCAGTATTGATCAATATCTGGTTTTAAATATATTTAAACCTAAATAGCGTGCCTATACCATTCTACATAAAATAGGACTAGTTAAATAATTTTGTTCTTTTAAAATAACTTTCCAAAAACTTAATGGTTTTCAATCCCAAATCAAATTTAGACCAGATCCTTATCTGTATATTTCTATTGATTTCAAAACAGGTTTTCCTGAAAATAAGACATTGCTACGAGGAGCAAATTAGGATAGATATTGTGTCGAGCTTTCTGTGTATACACAGAAATTAAACTATTATTATTAATGCCTATTTTTAGGAGATGCATGCCTTTGAATATGTGAGTAGCCCCAGGACTTTTCTCATGCTTAAAATTACAAATGTGTTTATGTACTTACTGAATAAGATTCATGAAACTATCCTTGACTTATAGAAGAAAGCACAGAGAGTTGATGGCTTACTGAAACAAAACTAAACCCCAGAAAATTATCAAAGAAACATAGAAAACCAGAATACTGGTAGTAATAGAAGAAACTCAAACATTCTGTTTGTTTGGGAAAAATCTTTATTTTGAACGACTCAGCCTTGAAAGACAAAGTTACTCTTGTCTGTCAGTAGTTTATAAGCAAAACTCAAAATGAAAGGAGACTGAAAAGGAAAAAAACAACAAGATTGTGTTTTTCCTAAGTGCTTTGCAATACATTAGGAATGTCTGAAAGATGCATTGTTTACTTTTATAATTTGGGGAGTTGTTTCATGTTGTTATGCTTGGTTTTCTTCCTGCCTTAGAAACAGAAGAAATAGCCAGTTGATTCCACCTTAGTTTTGCTGAAGAATGCCCACGAGATGTCATTGGTGAATTTTAGGTTTTGTTGCAGTATAAATGAAGGTGGGGAAGAATTTCAATTCCAAATTTTTACAAAGACATTCTATTTCTTGAGTATGTCTCAAGTATTTATTTTAAATAATCATTAATAAAAATAAACTCTAAAGGAGATAAAGCCTGCATAGAATATTTTTCCTTTTTTAACAGGGAACAGTTCTTGCGTAGGTTCTGTCACAGTCTTACAGATTTGTAATCCATTGATTTTTTTTCAGGACAGAGTACACAATCTGTATTGTATAGAGGAAAACTGGAACTGAAAATTTCTCTTTTTGTAGATGACCTATACACGCTGAATAGAGGGGTTTTGAGTTACTATTAGAAAGGTTATTTATAGGAGAAAAGAGGGATTTCATATATTGTCTGCTGTGGTGAAGTTCAGCTATGGTTACAGGTATAAGCTAATGTAGACTTCGCTTTGCGGATGGACATTTGCTGCTGGTGTTGTGTTTAAGTTTTTAGGAGATCCGGCATTCACAATCTGTGCAGGAATATTTGACAACCTAGTAATTCATCAATGCCTTGGTTAAGTAAGTCTTAGTCAGGTTCATAACCTAACATATTTGGAGAATCACTTTCAAGTTATAATGAATGAGAGAATACAATTGGAAAAGTCTTCCAAATGCTCATTATATATTTGATCTGACACATCTATAAACATTGATAAACATTGATAAACAATATCCAATCAGGATTCAAACTTCCAAAATGTATCATGTATCTGCGTAATTTAAAGCGCAGTAAGTCAACGTCTATTAAGTAAAGGGGTATGTTTCAAATCTAATTTCTGACATGGGAATCTAGCTACAAAATTAATTGTCTTGGGACGTGTGTCACTATATGCCCCTTTTCTCTAAGACATTTAACAGCATTAGCACAGAAATACCTCATGCGCGGCATTTTTTCAGCAGATCCCATATCTCTACTGACCTTGGTGGTATTATGTGCCATATTTTATTTTGGATTAACTGTTCTTGAACAATTTCCTCAAAGGGATGAGGCATCAGCAGGTTTTGTTTGAACATCTGGCATTTTTTTCCTCTTTTTTTTTTTCATCGGAGTTTTCCTCAGAGACTTTTCCTCTGGAATTGTAATTTCCACTAAGGTACATTTACATTGTTCTTCCTGTGCAAAAAAGGGCCTCACAAAAGGCACAAGTGACAATATCTCCAGTTCAGAGACTGAATACAGCAGCAAGTAGTCATAGAGAAGTGGCAGTATAAAATAAAAATCTCCGATTATTATTTACCTATCTCTGGTGTTGTGAACCATATTCCCCTCATAATCACAGTCTCACTGAGAAGCAAATGCATTTCTGCTTTTACCAGGTAGCAGTTAGTCACATAAGTATAATTTACAGAAGTGTTTCCATTAAGTTAATAAGGAAATTAAGGGACTATTCATCAGTTTCCGTAAATGATTAGTTACCTTCTGCTTTTATGTCAGCATGGACTCTAAATGTTGTAAGCTGTTTGTGTGTGGAACAAAGCTGGGTTACTGGGACTGGTAAGAGACACTTCTTACTAGCAATTAAATCCTATTTTTTAAGCATGGTAGTGTAGTGACATTGTTTTATTTCTGTTGTTGCTATCATTATTCCAATATGATGTTAGTAGGAGCAGTAGTAGTACTAACTATTACTGACAGTGATGTTTTGTCTTGTGGTATTGCCTAGGAGCTCTGATCATTGTCCAGGGCTCTACTGAGCCAGGTGCTGCAAAAGCATGAAAGCGAAAAGACAATTCTTCTCCAATGGGAGCATTGTTCTTCTATTGCAAAGAAAGGCTAACTCCCTAGGAATACAGTTCCTTGATGCACACTGCATGCATACACAGTAATGTATCAACGGAGCCTGGCTGTGGTCAGAAGAAAGCAAAGAAAATCAGTTCCCTTTTCCATCATCTTCCAGGTGACAGTTGTTTTTCTCCCACACCAAAACAAGGCCAAGCTCTTTCTAGCATTCTCATCAGAATGACTTGGATTTGAGAAAGGACTGCTGCTCTAAGGTGTGGGATACAAGTACTACTTTAAGGTGTGAGATACACAAATGTTAGTTCCTCCTCTGATTCTAAGCAGCATTTGTCATCTCCTGTTCTGGGCAAAGGAGAGACTTAAAAATGGGTCTAATAAATCCTAGAACTTAAAGTCAGAGTCTCTCTGTGTTTACATCCAACAACGCATTTGTACAAAAGTGTCAATGCTAAAACACTGATTTAAACATTTGGCCAAGAAAGTATGACACATCGGACACAATTTTGTTAACAAAGTTCATTCAGCTCTCAGGCCTATGCTAATCACTCCAGATTGCTGAATGTAGGGGAAGTTTTCTATATTCCT